TACGGGTGAACGTGTGATGGGTCTGGACGTCGGCCGTACATTTGCCACCTCTTTGAACGCCACGCTCTCGGGTATGACTAAAATACCCGACCACTGGTCTATGGCCGACGCGTCCACTATTATCAACACCTATAGTACGCTGTGGTATGGACTCATAAAACGTGCCAATTTGAAGAAAGGTAATTTATAAATATATTTTTAAAAAGAAGTATTATTTTTAATGTTGTTTCAATTTTTAAGGCGAAAGCATTTTAATACATTCGGCGGCGGGAGGTATCGGACAGTCGGCTATTAATATCGCCAAACACTATGAGTGCGATATCTATGTAACGGTCGGGACGGAAGAGAAAAAGCAATTTCTGATGAAAGAGTATAACATACCGGAGAACCGGATAATGAACTCGAGGGACATTGTGTTCAAGAATAAAATAAGGGAATTAACGGACGGAAAGGGAGTCGATATTGTGATCAACTCATTAGCCGGAGAGAAACTGGACGCCAGCTATGAGTGTCTGGCTAATTGTGGCAGATTCATCGAGATCGGGAAGTTCGACATGTTCCAGAATAGGAAACTGGGTATGTTTGACTTCCTGAGGGACATACAGTTCATTGGTGTGGGTTTGGACGCCGCGTGTATGAAAAACCCAAACTTTTTGCCAGACTTTTACGTTTGGATGCATAAGAACTGTACGAATGGTTGCGTCAAACCATACAATTATACCCTTTATAACGCCTCGGATGCGGATAAGGCCTTAAGATTCATGACAACCGGTAAACACATCGGGAAAGTAGTGCTGAAAATGAGAGACGAAGAGACAGACAAAAGATCCCCGAAGCTCATCAAACCTGCGCCTTATATACAGACAACAGTTAAGACATTTTTCAATCCCAGCAAAGTCTATATAATAACTGGAGGTTTGGGTGGGTTTGGTCTGGAACTTATACCTTGGATGTTATATTACGGTACAAGGAAGTTTATGGTGACTTCGAGGTCAGGGCTCACAACTGATTATCAGAAATATATATTCAATCGTTTCCAACGAGTTTATAAAGATTTTAAATTTTTCTCATCCGATTGGGTCGTGTCAACTGCCAATGGGTTTACTATTGAAGGCACACAACAACTCATAAAAGAGGCTCAAGAGTTGGGACCCATTGGAGGGGTATTTCATTTGGCGCTTGAATTGAATGACTGTTTGATAGAGAAGTTAACGTTTGATAAGTTTTGTTCGTCTATTGATACCAAACATAAGATTTTCGCAAATTTGGATCAATTGACCCGAAAATTGGACTACAAATTGGATTATTTTGTCGTATTTTCATCGGTGGCCTGCGGTAAGGGAAATGGAGGTCAGTCTAACTACTCGTTCGGTAACTCTATGTGTGAACGTATTTGTGAACAACGCCGGAGGGATGGCTTACACGGACTGGCCATACAGTACGGACCCATCGGTGATGTGGGAGTGTTTGCAGACTCGGATCAGTTGCTGACAATGACATCGATTAGGAAACAGCGAATCAACTCTTGTTGCGATGTTTTGGACAAATTATTGTCAGTTAAACAACCGATCGTTACATCATATGTAAGAAAATATATTTTTTTAGTATTTTAAAATAAAACATAAACATGTTACTTTAATTTAGATAAAAGTGGACCAGCTCAAAACAGCCGGTGGATCCAAACGTAAAATGATTGCCGAACTATGGCGTGCTCTGGGCATTGATCCCGAGACCACACCCAACCACCTAACCCTGGGTGAGATCGGCATGGAGTCTATGTTTGCCGTTGAGTTACAGCAGGAACTGGAGAGGGAGTGGAATATGAAAGTGACTCTCAATCAGGTCAAGAGTATTACGATCGGTATGTTAAAGGACTACGAGGCCGGCAATGTGGGCAATATTAAAGTGCACATCGAGGACATTAAAAGGTGCAAGGCCAAACTGCTGAAACAGAGGTTCGTGATGCCGACCGAGAAGTTCGAGCGCTTGAATACCGTGACAACTGGTCGACCCGTGTATATAATGCCGACCCTTAACATCAATTTTCAAGTGTTTGAAGAGTTGGCACAAAAGTTGAACCGACCGGTGATTGGCCTGAATTGGACCCGGGATGTGAGCAAATTGACAACACTTAAAGAGATTAGCAAATACTATGTGGACCTATTGAAGCACCTGGATCCAAAGGGCCAGTACGATGTGGTGGGCTATTTCGATACGTCCATTGTTTGCGCTAAAGTGCTGCTGAAGGGAATGGCAAATAAGACGGTTATTGTGGACATCATTAGTGACCTGCGTTTCTGCGATGAACAGCTCACCGAAGACTTTATACTGGAGTTCATGTTGAGCTGTATGGCCGGTGACATACCCGTCTCATTCAAGGACAAAATTCTGCGAGAATTCAAAAAGGAGTCGGATATCAACGCTAAGGTTAGGCTCATTGTCAATGAGGTCGTGGACTTCGCCGGCAAAGGACTACAGGCGCCCGATATGGAGGAGATATTTCACATAATGATAGCCCGGATTCGTATGCTATCGGAGTATAGACTCAATAAACGCAAGAAGTTTGCGAATAAACTAAAGCTCGCGATCGGAAAGAAATGGGCGAAAAAGACCGGGAAATTGGTTTTCATTAAACCGTTGAAGTTTGACGGCGTCGATGATATGGATGAGCTGCTGGAAAAGTCTCGCGATTTGTATTTCTTACCTGGCTCAAAGGTATGTTTTTAGTTAAATTTTTTGGACTAAAACACTAATTAAAAATAAAAATTCCATGCTGCACAACATTAATATCCATTATTAATAACAGTATAGTACAGTATTATCATAATAATTATGAAAAATAGATAACCCTTTTAAGCACCCAGTGGATCAATTGATCATAATGTATTAGTATTCATGTTATTTAATTGTAAAATATTGTTGAGTGAACTTTCTCGACATCATTATTATATTAAAGTATTAAATGTAAACATTTGCTGATAGGATGGACAGCATAATATTGAGATGGAGGCGGTCGACACTCCCAGCTCTGTGGATGTGATGGCCGGGGATATAATCGCTAAGATAGAGGCAGCGCTCAAATAAATTGATATAGAATTTTATACCTGGTATCAATTTGATTTATTAAATTCATATTTTAAACAAAATTTTATTTTTGAATTATTAATGTTAAAATTAATTTTTAGTAATTAATTATGCTGAATAGTAGTGTACTGTACATGTAATGAAGCAGTTAAAGTACCAATTTTGAATATCCATAAGAAGTAAATTTACATGTACTGTATATGTTATTTTCAAACAATGAATAAATCTTTTAATTCAAAAGTAATCCCAAATAATTAGTTTGTTTTTGAGCGACATTTACATTCACTCACTATTTTTGATAAGTTTCCAAACACTGGATATGTTTTTCGCAAAGTTTGCTAAACAATTGAAATCTATTGAGTGGTTGTTTATTGATGTCGATGTCGAGACTCGTGTCAAAATTTTTGATTCAAAAATAACCTAAAGTTATTCAAAAAAAACCCTTAAAGTTAAATCCAATGCAGAATAATTTGAATTTAAATGTCAAGCAAACATCCAACGATTTTTTTCTCTACAATCACTGTTAGTATAATTATTCTAGCATATAATTGATACTATAGGTATCATTTTAATTATCAAAAACATAACATTTGATATTATTGTTTAATCCTTGATAGTACCTTTTGCACTAAAATGTTTTTAGCAAATCGTATGACATCCTAGAATTTCAAAAAAAAATTTTTTTGTACTATTTTAATATAATTCCAAGGAATGATAAATATGTAAAGTAATAAAAATATAATTTTGCAAACAATAAAATTCATAATAGTGTACTGAATCCAATTATAGTATGAAAATACTATATTTTGTTCTATACAGTAATTTGATTTTAAAATATATTTATAAATTTATAAGCAAGGTTTGTCAATTTAATTAATCTGTAGGTTTTAAAAATAACATGGCTAAATTATGTTGGATAAAATAAGTACTGGGTAGTGAATGTTTTTCTATTTAATATTGAATGTCATTTATTATGGCTTAGTATATCATTTAATAATTAATAATTATATAAATTTAAATATTTAGTAAATTAAATTAGAAATATTGTCAATAAAAATAATTTTTATTTCCAATATTTATTTTCTAAATTTATTTCAAATAATAGAATAAAAATACTAATTAATTATGCATATAATTTTAGAATCTATAATAAAATTAAATCACAAAAAATTGTTATGAACAATTTCATAATTGACGTCAAAATACTATTTTGTGAATAATATACTAAAATATTGTGTTAACCTTAAAGATTTACTTAAGAATTGTCAAAAATAATTTACTTATTTAGCAGAATATGTTTACATTTAAATGCCAATTGTGAAATTGTGAAAAATCACGTAAACGACTCATTAATTCACTAATAATTATTCAAATATTTAAAATTTTAAGTCAGTATTAACCAAAATTTTATACAAGAAATATAATTTTAAACATGCAAAATTTTTCATACTTTTTATGAAATTCATACTTATATGCTCACAAGTTTGTTTATTACAAACTGTAATTCAATGTTTTAACAAAAATATTTACGAAACTAATTTTATAAAAATTATTTTATTCTCTATAAATGAATATTAATTCAAAATCAAATACTTTTATTGGAAATAGTGAATTACAGTTTGTAATAAATATAAACTTGTGAGCATATAAGTATGAATTTCATAAAAAGTATGAAAAATTTTGCATGTTTAAAATTATATTTCTTGTATAAAATTTTGGTTAATACTGACATGGATAAATAATATACCAAACAAAACCCTAACTATCCAGCTATAATTTAGTAATTAAATGAATAAAATAAACAAGACGGTATTAAAATAAATTAAAATCAAAGGAGCACTGCCATATTTTGGCCGCCCTGTACCATAACTTCTATTAATATCAAAGCTTTTCTATTTTTTGCACATAAACATGTGACCCAAAGAGTCTGTCCGTGTTTGTCCGTATTTTGAATGATTAAACTCATAAATTGTTTTGGAATAATATTATTACTGTATTTTGTTTTATAGTCTACTCAATGCTGAGCCCTAATATGTGATTTATATTGTCCTGTGACCTCGGGTTCGGTTAGGTGACCACTTTTATTGGGAAATATAAACTTTATAAATATGGGCGTGTAATATATCAATTTGATAGATAATTTTACGCAGAATATGATATAAACAAACACTAAACATCAAAAATTTACATTTTGTCATTCAAGTGCAAAACATTTGAAACAAGTAAATTTAATTAAGAAAATTATAATATAAAAATATAAATTGATATACTGTTAATTTAAAGGTAATCTCTCTCTCTCTCTCTCTCACCTTATCTCCTATATATTTGTTTTTGTATAAGTTATACAGTATAACAGTAATGCTTAATTTTAACAAATTATTTCTTTAATTTTAAAACATAAACATATATTACCTTTAAATTTACAGTATATCAATAATATTATTCCAAAACAATTTATGAGTTTAATAATTCAAAATACGGAAAAACACGGACAGACTCTTTTGGGTCACATGTTTATGTGCTTAAAAAGCTTTGATTAATATACACAATTTTAGTACCATACAAATGTAATTATAAATTAGGAAATTGAATGATATTTTATAATTGAGTGTTAATTATTAGTGAGAATAACTGAGTGTGAGTGAGTGAGTGAGTGAGTGAGTGAGTGAGAGA